GTATGATTTATATTTAAAATTTTTATTTTCACTATAAATAATAAATATTATTTTTTATTAATTATTAATTATTATTATTAATCAAATTAAACTCTAATCAATAATGAGCAGCGCTAGGGGCACTCCCCTCCTGCACTCTCCCGCCAACGCTTCCACTTTCATTGGATCACGTACGCTTACTTCGGTGGTTTTGGAAAGCAACCTCTTGAATCTAAATAACGTGGCCCAATCAAAATGAGAGTGTTGTCGGGAGAGTGCAGGAAGCGAGTGCCCCTAGCACTGCTCGTCAATAATTACAATTTCATCAATTTATCAATTTTTATAATTTTTTAGTTACCAATTTTTAGCCCATCCCCCTATCCCACGTGTCAAATTTTAACGCCACAACAGATGTGAATGTCATATCTTCGATGTCTAGAGATTCTAAGGGCACAATTTACATGGTTGCTGAGCTCCAGGCCTCACCGGCCGACGATGTCACGCTGGTAATTATTGTACTTCATTCGCTCAAACTTTAAATCTTCCTTCACACAATCATATTAGCTTTTTCTGTTTTCTATGGGCAATAATTATTTTTTTTGAATTATTTGCCCTGCTTTTGCAGAAAGTTGATCCCTGCTCAGCTTTCCCTGCATGAGGTTGAATGGCGAGGCAATTCCATTTAACATTTTGAAAACTGGGCCATGATATTGACAAGAGAGAGAGAGGAATCCGAGACAGACAAAAATATCTGAGAGTAGAAAAATAATAGTGCATGAAAATAAAAAAATACTAGATTATATAAGTGAAATTATAATAATAAATAAATAAAATTAACATAATGACAATATTACTTTGCAATATTCACGTGACAAAATCACCGGTCTACGTGTATACTTATTTACGTCGTTAAGTAAAAAATTTTGTTATAAACAAAATTACGGTGAATGATTTTAGAGAATAAAAATAAAATTATAGACAAAACTGAAATGTATTAAAATTTTAAATGCATGCCAACCGAGGCAAAACTTTTCCAACATTATTTTTACTGTTTAAAATGATAAAACGTTTTTTTCATGATAACTATTTATAGTCATTTGTAATTGAGTGACATCTGTTGTGCATCTTGAAAATATCCTCTTAACTTATCAATTATTTGTTCATTTGAGTAAAAAAAATTTAATTTTTTAAATGAAAATTTTTTTTTTCCTTTCTTCCGGGTCAATTACTCAATTTAGTAACGCTTTCCTTCACCAAAATGAATGCAAAATGCCTGTTCTCCACGTCCCTCGGCTCCCATAAATACTCACCACGTCTACCGCCGGTTCTTGCCAAACACAAACGCCTCACGAAATCTGTCACAATGAAATCGAACAAAAATATTGAGAATTTTTTTAATTATTTTTT